ACTGGCTAAGCTCCTAAATGGATAGAGGAAGAAACATGCAAACATGCCTGCTAAGCCGGCATAACAGAAAAAGAAATATGAGGAAGAGTGTAGAGAAGCGGAAGGCAAAAACATGATAAAATGTCTAGAGGTAAAAATAAACTAATCATGTCAGAAATGCGATTGTTGTTGCTTGGAGATTTTGCACGGTTGAAACACAAATATATAAGCAACAAATCCAGTTGAGCTAAGTTTAGATAGCTAGCCTATATATACCCTATAGATAGGATGATATTTGTAGCTCTTAAAATTCCTGAGTTCGCATAGATTTCTGTCTCATAGAAAGTTGCATAAAATATGTTATCTAAATATTTCTTTGAATTCGAACAGGTTTTATATCAAATTCTTTTTTTTTTTTGCTTCTCATAATCGCTGAGTTTGAAGGTGTTTCTGTAACATATATCAATCATCTCATGCTGAACTAAAGGAAAACTTTCATATATGATATATTACTTATGTTACTTTGAAGTTGCAGAAGTTGCATACAAAATTTCATATGCCTCTTGGCCACAATGAAAGAGTTAGTTGAGTTAGTTGGCCTATTTAGTTGGCGGTTTAATCGATTATAAACTTTATCTTGGCCTCATTCATGATTTGCATCTGGTTAAGTTTGTCAAACTATGTTTGCAATGTTGTGCAAACAGAGTCTAACATGAGTATATCAAAATATATGTTATGCCAGACCATAGATGGAATCCTAACACCCAATAACAAAGAAACAACAACAAGAACAGCAAGGTTTAAGCATTGCAGTCGTAGGAACATGCAAAGCTTAGCCGCAAAGCTTACAAAGTGGAACGCAACATCGGAACCTGACGGCTTGACGCATGGGTCTAGCCACTAAGTGGGCTTCTCAATGTCTGTCTATGAGTGTGAGAGTCTGTGTGCGAGTATGTGTAATACCACAAAACTGACTGTGGGGATACAATTGTCAAGGCTAAAAGACAAAAAAAGAAAAAAAAAACAAAACAAACAAGAGAAACTGAAACACCGCACACTGGGCTTGGGGAGACAGGTATTAAAAACAAAAACAAGAACAAAAAAGGGCGAAAAAAAAGAAGTAGAAGAAAAACAAGTAAGAGTGCTCGAGGCGGCAATGCTCGACTAGGCGATATCCGGCAGCTCAGGATGAACATCGATACTATATAGCAAATTTTGATGACTCCAACTCAAGTCTCTTATCGATTTCATTGAAACTTTTACAGCGTGTGGTATAGATGAGGAGTTATGTCTAAGATACCAACTATAAAGCTCCTCTACTCTTAGACTCTTACACGCTGAGCGAGCAGTGACAATATTAGATCGAATTGTCAATCGATTCATATCAAGAATTTATAAGTTTTACCCAACTTCTTGTGTCTGCTTCATACACTTAAATCCAACCAATATGCCCTATTTGGCAATGTGTACCGAGTATTTGGTATATTGAATGAAGCATAGCCTGTTAGACTTTACATAACTAACTACTCCTTGTTAAGCCACCTCTCTCTCTGTCTCTGTTTCTTTTTCTGTTTCGTTTAAAGGCTTTGCATTTGTGCTTTAAAAACAATTAAGACGTGTTAAACGTTGTTAGATATGTGAAAAATATAAATATTAAATATAGATTTTTATAAATACAGAATGACGGCAAGGCAGGAGCAGAGGGAAACTGGTTCTTTCCGTCTTCTAACTATTTTATTATATATCTTTATGCTCTCTTTGTCATTCACTTTCTAATTGTGTATCTCTCTGTCTCACTAATTTTTTATATTTATTTTTCTTTCTCTCTCTCTCTCTCTCTGTCTTTCATTTGTGCTCTATTTTAGTATTCTCTGTTGCTCTTCTCTTTAATTGTCTGCAACTCTCCTCACATTTCTTTCTCTCTCATCTATCTTCTGTCTCTTCTTTACAATCCCTTCTCTTTCTCTCTCTCTCTCATCTCTCTCAATTTTGTCAAATTTCTTATAAGCATTCAACTTGATGAACACGATCATAAACATGCTCGTAAGTCTCTCCCTCTCTTTCTCTCTCTCTCCTCCTTTCTCTTTCGCTCTCCCACTCTTGGCCTGCACTGTCCATATGCCAGACACATGATAGCTATTCCAGATGCTTTTGCTGCTCGATCGCAGCCAGCGATAGAAGAATTTGTTGTTGTTTTCTGAGTCCGCGTTACGAATCGAAATATTCGAATTATCGCACTTGCCACAAAATGTGGAACATGTGCTTATCAAATATGAACAGAAACACACACACACAAGTAAACAAGAAGAAGAAGTCAAATAAAAAACTGAAAACAAACTCATGCAGCTATTTGGGCCTGCACTTGAAAAAAAATGGGAAAAAAAAGTGAAAATGAAACAAAAACAAGCCGAAGGAGTATGAGAGGAAGAAAGAGAGCAATAGATATATGTGCCTGGGATCGTCGTCAGGCAAAAAAAAAATTGTTTGATTTGCCGGCAGCCATTGGACAGACGTTGAGCCTCAAGGCAGAGACAGAGCGAGGGGCAGAGGCAGAGGCAGAGGCAACGACTGACTGACCTACCTGGTGTTTGTGACCTTTGCAGCTACCTGAGCCTCAGGCTCGGACGAGCCAAGCAGAGTGCGAGAGGGTGATAGAGGGAGAGCGAGGTTTCGGTCTCGGTTTCGGTTTCAGAGTGTTGTCTCCTGGCTGGAAGCCAACCAAGCGTGCCATGAACTGTTGCCTCCCTTTCATGCTGCTAGTTGCCTGCCTGGCTGCTTGGCTGCCTGACAGCCTGCTATAGACTACATCATGCCACATTTTATGGCCAGCTGTTTGTTGTTGTTGCACATTTTTGAGATACTGTTATAAGTAAATGTTGTGAGCGAAAACATCTGCTTACAATTCTTGTTGCCACATTTTCATTTCGCATTTTGCATTCCAATTTGAGTTACTTTTGCTGAAGCTGTAGCTGTAGCTGTAGCTGGAGCTCTGCTTAGTTAAGTTTCAAGTAGACCAAAAACTGTTTGTGCTGAGTTTAATAGACCAAGCGACGTGATGGAATTGGCAAATTGTTGCCAGGCAGCCGCAACTCAAATATACCCCACGATATAGAGTAAAATGAATTGCATTAGATATATGTTACGGCAGCTATAGGTCATAGTATTCCATTTCATATTCGAACTGGTGTTAAAAGGTGGCGCTATACCAAATTTCATGTAGAAATTGTCCTTTGAAGTTGAGTTCACTTGGGCAGCTATATGAGAGAATGTTTTGATTGGGATGATAGTATCATATTTTCAAGTATATCACATATATATCAACTGTACCAAGTTTCATCAAGAAAACTACACTAAGAGCTGAGTTCACATGGTTAGTTATATGATCTAGTGATACGATTCAACTCAATTTGAAATATATTCTTATTTGAGCAGAGATCAGAAGCTGTAGCCAGTTTCACTCATGTTGCTTTAGTGGAAGCTGAGTTCACATAGTTAGTTATATGATGCACTGTGCATATCCAACTCATTTTGGAATATGTTTTTAATGACGTTAAAAGCCGAAGCTGTGCCAAGTTTCATCAGTATACCTCTACTGCTGACCGAGTTCAGCTGGGTAGTTATATCACATTTCCCTCTAACTTATGCAGTGGATATATCAAAAAGTTTTTAAACGAAAGCTGCACTTAACGCTTAGCTCTCATAGAACATAAGATGTGCTTAAATATTATTCTAAGCCTGAAACATTTTTAGAATAATATGCAGAGCGTCCTCTGTAAAGGGACCAGATGTGTGGGAGTCTCATTCACTGTATGCTACTGCTGTCTTTCTCACTCCTTGTTGTGACTGCTGCCACCTTTTGGGATACATTTCATACTCACACGAGATACGAGAATTTCCAACTACTATGTATATCCACAGCGCTCGGAGGGCTTTAATGCAAACTGGAGTTGGGTATCAGATTATGGCTCAAGGCCAAAAGCTCTGCACTAATTGCGCTCATCTCTCTGTGTGCTCTCTCTTGGTCCCCAATTTTTATGCTCTCTACCTTTGCTTTGCGCTTTCCTTCGTTTTTAGTTAAGAGCTCTACAAACAAAAAAAAAATAATAATTTAAGACTTAATTAGGACGCAACCTTAAAAGCTTTGGCTTTGGCTCTGCCAAAGACTTCAACTTATTTCCCTGTGGAATACATTGGGGAACCCTATTCTAACTTTACACTTTCCATCAAAACTTTTCAAAAACAAACTAATGTGAAATATTATCCAGATTTCGTTCAGTTGCTTATTTCCCCATTGTATTCCATTCTAACTTTTCACATTCCACCAACATTTCAACTGAATTTTGTATCTTCCGAAACCTATGCTAAGTCTTGTTCATGATATACTGTGTCTATATATATATATCTATTCCAAGTTTAGTTAATGTTGGCCAATCGACTGTTGATTGGAACTGGAATTCGAGTTCAAATTCAAGTTCGATTTCGAGTACTTTGTCTGCTTTAGTTTCTCATTTGCTGTTGATTGAGTTTCAAGCCTTTTTAAATACTGTATAACTGCCGAAGCTAAGGGCATAGCAGCCAAGCTTCAGTAGTTGGACTTCATGAAACTGGTTAGCTTTGAGAACTGGACTTATGAAGTGTTCTTCTGGTATGGCCAAACTTGTCATTCCTTAAGCTGCTATTAAATGAAATTACAACACAATTTTGATAAGAAAAAGTTCTTTGTGCTAACTTTCTTTGATTAATTCTTGATGTAACAATTGATTCAGCTTGTTCCTTTGGAAGGAACCATTGAGCTGGGGAACTAAGAGAATTGCCTCTTTCGGAAATGATATGTGACTTCATATAGAGCAAGTCTATGCAAGTCACAGTCCAAGCTACTCTCTCACATTATCTGTATAGAGGGAACTCTTCTCATTTGTGGGAATCGTATTTAAAATTCTGTGTGTCAAGTGTTTTGGCAATCAAAAGCAATTCATTTACTAATTATTCTGTCTACTATTTTCTCCATATGTGTTTTCTAGGTAAGGCCGACCAGCATGAGCTCTATCTGCCCACTCTCTCTGCCTCACTTGGCCACAGTCTGAGAAGAGTTTTGCGAGTCTTGAAAGGAAATGTCACAGAGGCAAGTATCAAGTGGAAATTGTCGCAGTTGACATACGTCTGCATATGTTGATATCATTTGGGTGTATGTACATATGCATACATCTGTGTGCTCGTTGCCTAGGGAGGCGTGGGTGGTCGGGCATTACAGGGTATGTGCTGCCATGCAAGGCATGTAAACATTTTTAAATTTGAATTACGTGCCTCGGCTGCCAAGTTGGTTTTCTAGATGCCACAGCGAATATTTCAAATGAGCAGCCGAAAAACTTTCGCTTGCCACGCCCCAAAACCACCCACAAAACAGGGGCGTAGCAGCTCATGAGATTTCCCACAGTCAAAAAAATAGCACGCCAAAGGGCCTCTTAAAGAAATATGCTCAGTTTTCAAGCTGACAGAGTGGGGGAGCGCCAGATATCTATATATATATGTGTGCGTGTGTGGGTGTAGGGTATATTAGGTGTCGGCATTGGGGCATGAGGATAGGGTATATAGAGGTGGGAAGAGGGAGGGTCTTGAATGTGGTGTCAGGTCTTAAGCTGCGTCTTTTGATGGCAGCGCCGCGGGCCAACGCAGCTGACTAAGCAGCAATTGAGCAACTTTTCGTTTGAGCTGCAAAAAGAAAAATTACAAAATTTATTAAAGTGTGGGAGCGAGGCAGACAGACAGAGAGAGAGATAGCAGGAGAGAGAGTGAGGCAGACGCACACATATCAAATGTAATTGACTCGGAAATCTAAGACAAATGTGCTAAAAATTAAAGGAAGCAACCCAAAAAAAGGCAACAAAAGCGACAAAATGTCTTTGTGTGTGTGCAGCTTGTTGCCTCCAAATATAGGAGCAGCAGCGTCTCAGTGAGAGTTTTGTGTCTGACAACTTGAGCTATCTTTCAGAATATCTTTAAGAAACGAGTTAAGCAAAGCTGCTTAAGCCAAAACCTTTCATATTTGTGCTGACATTTTATAATTTATAAAATGAATATTAAATGTTATATATTAAAATTTAATGTTTATGTAAGGAAGGAATTCTGAAAAGCTATAAAAATATCCGTGAATCAATGCATTTAATCATAGAAAGGTAACGTTTGCAGCGGCTTAATATATAGTCGAGATATAGTAGACTGAGGTATAAGCATTATAGATTATATATAAAGCCAGAAAGCACTGTAATAATTCTTATATCTGAGTTTTGATATGAAAAAGATATCTTAAAGAAACTTTTCTCTCCGTCTATTGTCTATGCTAGCATATGGATTCCAAAAATTCAAGTCATACAGACAGGTGGAGAGAGTATAAAACCAATATACTCTGTTCACTTCATGAACAGATCTAACAAATTCAGCTCCAGTACTTTCTCAGCTTCTTTGGGTAGCTAAGAATATTTCAAGTTCTGCTTATGTAAGATTCGCTCAGATGACATAGTTAGTGGCGCACAACCACCACCACCACCACCATCAACTGCACCACCATCACCACAAGCAACAACAGAAAATTCCATATGCACCATTAGTAAACACCACCCCAAATAAAATATATTTCTTTTTGTGCCAACCCCCCTTTGATATCAGACTTAACCCTCAGCGTCTCTCACGTCTGTTGCATTATCAAGAAGCAGCACAAACAGGCCACGCAGTAGAAACAGAACTTGAAGTAGAAGAGAAAACAGCAAGCAGCTGCCGATAAGTTCTTATTGAAGAAACAACAGTCGCAGCAATTTGTACTCGAGATTAGCTGATAGCAAGCTATGTGCGTGCTTCTCTTCGGCGAGCAGTGTTGGTAAGCGTGGCCAATTGATTGAACAACACTGGCTCGAATGGCTCTGACTAAATATGGGCACTTTTTAATCAATCAATCAAAAAATCTTGTTTTTTTTATTAAGTTGGTTTGATAGATAAAGTTTCTTGTCAATCTGTCAATCACTCAGCTAATCAATCAATCATTACTAAAAGTCTGTCTCTCAGTCAGTCTATCAATCTGTTAGTAAATCATGCAGTGTACTAATCAATCAATCAGGATTGATGATATCTACGAATATCTGTGAATCAGTCCCATCAGGTGGTAGTTCATGCCGTCAATCAGGTCACATCAGGTCAATCAAACAAGGAAGTAAATCAATAGGCCGTTCAATCATTTGGTCTATGGATCTGTCAGTCATTCAAACTGGTAATTGATATTGAGTGATTCTCTTAGTCAATCATTCGGTCAGTCAGTCAATCAATCATGACTTCTTCTATATATTGTGAATGTATTTAAAAGTTCTCTTAATTTCGATTCAGTCGAACTTCGCCGTCTCGTTTCAATCAAGCCACGAGAGAGAAGAACAAAAACAACCCTGAACCACTTTGTGAACCACTTTCAAAATGGTTCGATTGATTGGATGAGAAATCTTTTGAGAAAAGAAATTTGAGAAAGTTTGATTGAAGCGATGCAGTGGATGTTTATACACGCTGACGAAATTCTAAGAGAGTATATTAGTTTTTTGTGCAATGTTTCGATATGTGGAATATATATATAGATATATATAAACTCAACTCTGAATTTAGTTCTTATAGATTGTGTCGATTGTTCGATCTGCTATCGATATTCTGCAGTTTAGTTGTGAGCGAGCATTGTGTAATCGGCAACGCTCAATTGCAATGTTCTTACTTTATTTGGTGGTTGGGTGGCTTGTGTAGGTGGTTGCAAGGCTCATTATTAAATATATATATATTGAGGGTGGTTGCTTTTACTGCTGTCCTCCCCTAGGCCAGACGATTGAAAATGAATGAAATTTTTAGATGCGACTACAATCGAAATGAAGAGAATGAGCAGGGACTGAATGAAGCTGGCTCAATATGTTGCCCATTTGCAGACGCAGACAGACAGGGAGAGTGAGAGAGAGAGAGAGATGGTAGAAGGGGAGCATCTATAATACCAAAACCCATCGAAAAATTCGATTTTGTATGCTCGGCTAATGCGAGAAATTTGTATGCAGACCAAAAACATTTGGGCATTTCTTTTGTTTTGGAGCCGCGTCTAAGGAAATAACAATCAAATTAAATGACAGCCGAAAGCTGCGGAAATTAGGACTTGGCTCTCTCTTCTCTTCTCTCTCACTCTTACCGTCTCTCTCTGTCGAACTGCTTGTGGCATTTGTTGCTTTGCTTTTTAACACTTTCAGTGCATAAATTTCTTTTGGCATTTTATTGACTTAATTTGCTGGGCGTGAAAAAAATAATAAATAAGTTACATTTACAGATACACAGACAGAAAGGGGGGGCAACCAGAGAGCGAGAGATGAAGTCTGTTCTGGCCTAGCTGCATGGAAAAGGGTTTAACATTTGGGACCCGCGCACAACATTTAAATGAAAAACTAATTTCAAATGTCATAAAAAAAAGAGCTCACCCAGTGCTTCGCTTAAGCAGCTGAAATTCATAATATAAATATACGCCGGGAAAAAAGAAGGGCGCGGCGCGGCAGCGGGTTGGGAGTTGGGGCATGCCCTTAATGAAAGTGCGCAAAAATGTTCATTTCATAACTTCATATTGCTTTGACTTAAACACTTCAAGCGTTGCGCCATTTCTGTTCCTGCCGAGGCTCTTCCATTTCCATTTCAACATTTTTTAAGGTATTCCTTGACTTTTCTTTTCGTTGTGGTATTCCCTGTACTGTTTGACAATTTGTTCTAGTCGAAAGTTGTTAAATTTTTATTTAATTTTCAGTTTTATTTTAGAAAGTATTTCTTTTTGATGACTTCTTTTCGGTTTCTGGCTCACTGTGAAAAATGAACTAGTTCATTTTTTATAGTTGAAATATCTTATACATTGTTCACTAACAGCTAATTTGCTGTGAAGTATTGCTATTGCATGTAGTTCTAAATGATATCAGTAAAAGGGCTCATAAATAAACTAGCAAAGCTACTCAGTGTTCCGTGAACGACTTAGTTCAATACAATATCGTTCGCTGCGCTAAAGTTGCTGCGGAACCATTTCGTAAATTTATGTACTTTATCTGTTCTGGACCCTGGTCTTTATGAAACTTTGGTTCACTATTGGACATTGCTCACTTTTAACTAGCTCATAGTCTAAATTCCTTAGCTCAGATAAACATATAGCTTAGTTTTCCAACTTATCTCTAAACAAGTGCTTATCAATTGCTCAGAGTTCGCTGATGATCCACTTTGTGAAAGTCTACAGTTTATATATATATATATACATATATAGTCGTAATATAAATAGACCTACGACAATATATATATATATATATACATATATATATATATATAGCTATATATAAATTTATGCCTGTCCCTGATATGAAGTGGTTCCATTTGAAAATGTTCGATTGATAAAGCTACAAAGAGCTCAATTTTCTTAGCTTACCTTCGATTATACTTCGAGACCTAGATATATACGTATATTATAAAGCTCTTCAACTCTCATCTATATATAGTTCATAGCTTATAAGCTGATTACTTCGCTGGCTTTATGGTTCCTAATTTTAAGCCTAATACGCAGTTGGCTTCCGCCTTTGGTTCTGTTGTCAACGCCTTCGCTTCGCATCAGCCTCGACTCTGGTGTTCATGTTCAGCCAAGCAAATATATCAACGCTTGCCTACCCCCAAGTCTCTGCCTTCACTCTATGCTTTTTTTGGCTTTTACATCTCACATATGCCAATTTCCACTGTGGGTGGCAAAGAGCATAGCTAAATGCGTCTTGATGCCGCTTAAATACCCTAAGAGCGAGTGAAAGATAATTGAGTAGGTTTAACAGTCTGTTAAGGCACTTCAGGGGTGCATGGAAAGCTGGAATGCTAAAGCTTGCATGTTAACTTCTGGCTGTTAAGTTCTTCAGCTGTTAAGAATATCTATTGACCTTTACGTCCCATTGAAGCTGTTAACATTCATCAATTTTTAGTCTCTGTTGCTACATTTGCATCTATCAACTGTTAACTGTAAGTACTATGTTAACTGATGTTAACAGCGTTTGCCTCTGTTGCTCTTGATATGTTCCACCTTCTTTCTGTTGCAAACGTTGACTG